TTATCATTATTGGCTTAATCACATGTTTGCTCTAGTGTAGGTGTAAATTTAGTCGACAGGTTATAATTAATTAACTTGGCAATAATGTCTTTAGAAAGGTTCTTGAAATGCTAAAATGCTTTCTTTGCAAATGAGTCAGCTACCCTACTATAAAGCCTTCATAATCCTTGGTGTCACTTATTTTCGGTTATGTCGGGTAAGTCTAGCTGAGTACCTTCTCGTACTCAGGGTTTTATTTCCACTTGTTGCAGATGGGCAGATGTATTACGGCTACTGTATCAACTGCCTTTATCCTGTGATGGGTGATGCTTAGGACCATGGTCATGGTCATTCCTTACGTCTCGTCTGATGCTTTTGTTGGAGATGATCATTCGCTGGCACTATATTTGAACTCCGTGTGAGTGTGTGTGGTTTGAACAAATGGCTTCCGCTACTTTTATTCGAAATTGTTTTGTAATAACTATGTTTAAACTCTGATGTATCTGAGATGCAAACTTTTATGTAATATGTGATGGTGTCTGCTAAACTTATTACGATCTTGGCTGGAATGGAAGTTGGTTTGAAATCCTTCGTGATTTCATGGACTACCGGGTTATACGGGCTTAAGTTTGCTAAATCATCTGCTCTGGCTGATGATTTTCTTACTTAATTTCATATAATTGGTCGGTTCTGTTACACGGCCATCCCTTCCCGCCGGCCGCCACCTCCCCACCGTCACTTTTTCTGCCCGCCCTCGCTCCCCCCGCCGCCACCTCCCCGCCGCCACCGCTCTGCCCCGCGCCCGCCCAGTCGACCACCTCCCCGCCGCCACCCGATCCGCCGCCCGCTTCGGCGCCCGCTGCCAGCAAGGCCGCTTCACCTGGCGCCTGTATTCCCATCGCCGCCCCAGGTCAGTCGTTGTCCTCTCACTTTTTCTTCATTCTCTATTCAGTAGAATGATAGATCCATGAACTACACTTCTGCCTTGCCATTGATTAATGCTAGATCTAGTGATATGTCGTGTCTAGTTTGTGATTTTGTGATTGTCTAGAATGAATGAACGATTTTGTGACTGAATGAATGATTTGGTGATTTTGTTCAATGGTTGCAGTGTTCAGTAGATAGAATGAATGAATGATTTTGTGATCTGGTGATAGGCAGTGTTCTGTCTAGATTGAATGAATGATTTTGTGATTGTGAGTAGCTATTTTTGTGATTGTCAGTAGCTTTTTTTGTTCAATTTGGATGGTTCAATTCTGGTGATATGTAGTTAACTTGTGCCATGTTGTTGGACTGCAGATTGCATTGGTGATGGAGACTCCTGGGAGTAGTGTCCAACCTGAGCAGGTCTCGTAGGCTTCCATCCCTGTTGACGAAGCTCTCCCTGGTAATCAGGTTATCGCCATTGATGATGGAGTTGATGATCGCGAGGCCGAAGATGGGATTGCTGGTATAACTCACTCACAGGGTTCGCATAGGAAGCTCACATCTGCTGTATGGAAGGAATTCACACGAGTTTGTGATGATGATGGAATTTGGAAGGCAAAGTGCGACCACTGTGGCAAGAAGCCTTCAGCTACAACAAGAAATGGTACTAACCATTTGCGTACTCATCTGAAAATCTACATCTATATAGGAAGAAGCCCGGTGAGAAAGTGTAAGCAAATTTGAGGTTTGCATCCACTGACAAGGGTGCAGTAGCTGTTGAAAATTATATGTTTGATCAAGATGTAGCCAGGAAAGCACTTTACACAATGATTACACTGCATGAGTACCCTCTGTCCATTGTGGATCATCTTGGTTTTCGTCAATTTGTTAGTGCTTTGCAACCCTTATTCAAGATAGGAACTAGAAACACTATTAGGAAGGGCATCCTAAACTGCTATGATGTGGAGAAAAGAAAAGCTAGGATGTTTCTTTAGAAGCTCAGTTGTTGTGTAGCCATTACAACTGACCTGTGGACTGCTGATAATCAGAAAAGAGGATATATGGCTGTCACTGGACATTTTATTGATGACTCATGGACCCTTAGAAGCCGCATTTTGAGGTGATTTCTTGTTGTCCTACTTCAATGACTTGCTGTCCTATTTATGTTGTACTTCAATTAGTTGCTGTCCTATTTGTCTTTTACTCCAACTTATTTCAATTGTCTTTTCTAGGTTTGTATATGTGCCATGCCCCCATACTGCTGAAGTTATTTGTGATGCACTACTTAAATGCCTCCAGAGTTGGGATCTTGATTGCAGGGTGTCCACTATGACAATTGTCAATTGCAGTGTCAATGACAGTATGATTGGTCTAATGGAATCAAGGCTTGGGGAGGGTAATATGTTGCTGGGTGGAAAGCACTTGCATACCCGTTGCTATGCGCACATATTGAACCTCATTGTACAAGATGGATTGGAAGTGATCAAGAAATCTATTGCAAGAATTGGAGAGGGCATTGCTTATTGGATTGCGACACCAAAGAGGTGTGAAAAATTGTGAAAGTAGCTCAACAACAGAAGGTTGAATTGAAGAAAAAACTATGTCTTGATTGCAAAACTATATGGAATTCAACTTTTGTCATGCTTAGCATTGCTATACCTTATAGGAAGGTTTTTGATCGTTTGGGCATTCTTGATCAACACTTTGTTTGCCCACCAAATGATGATTGGAATTTTACAGCTATTGTTTGTGAGAAATTAGAATTGTTCTGTCAGCTCACTGAATTGTTTTCTAAAACAAAGTATGTGACAACTAATACCTTCTTTCCTAAAGTATGTGAGATCAAGCTTAAAATTAACTCTTGGAAAGAAGATGAAAATGAGATCATTAGAAACATGTCCACTGCAATGATAGAGAAGTATGATAAGTATTGGTATGATATCCAAGGTCTCATGGCTGTTGCTGTTATTCTTGATCCACGCCTTAAGATGATCATGCTGCAAGCTTGCTATATGGCACTTTTGGGTCAAGAAGAAGTTGATAGATATTGTCAAAAGAGCTATGAATTGCTAACTCAATTGATGGATGAGTACCAAGTGCAAATTGATCAAGAGGTTGTGGGTACATCATCTTATGGGGCTTCAAACTCTCTTTTAGTGCTGCTGTGGTTCTGTCCATATTCAAAATACTTGCTGCCACTAAGAAGACCTCAAGTCTTATTAAAGCAAAGAGTGAGTTAGATCGGTACTTGGACGAAGATCCTCTTCCTCATGATGAGAATGAGTACTTTGATGTCTTTGGGTTGGTGGAAGGTGGCTGGAACTCACTTCCCTACTTTGAGGTTGATTGCTCGTGATATTTTGGCAATTCCCATAACCACAGTAGCTTCTGAATCCGTTTTTAGCACTAGTGGGAGGGTTCTAAGTGAGCATCGCAGCCGTCTTACTCCACAAATGTTGGAAGCTTTGATGTGCAGCCAAAGTTGGTTTCATCACAATCTTAAAGGTAAAGAATTATGCTTTTGATTCCTGTAGCTTGTCAATGTTGTCATCTCATTCTAATGATCTTATGGCAACAGCTTACTAATGTCGTCTTCTTATTTCAATGTGCATTTATAGGTTAAGATGATGGATAGATTGACACCCTTTGGTCCTGCCTTGAAGACATTGAAGAAGAAATGAAGGAAGAACCTTGCATCTCTACCGTCGACTCTGATTAAGCTTGCTGTTCATTTGTATCTGTTATGTGAACAATATTTTTGTGATTTGAGCCATGTGTGTGCTGTTCTAGACTTGTCACTTGTACTTGTTGAACCATATTTATTTGGCTTGTACTCTTGTTATTAAGATGTTGAACAATAGTTGTGAACTGTTATTTGTGAACTTGTGCTGTTGTGCATTGGATCTGTACGTGATCTGTACAGGTTTATGATTATGAACTGTGAATTTGTGATCTGGCTGGCGAGCACGGGTTCAATTTCGTGCCCGTGACGGGTCGCGGGTGCAGGCACAGGGTTTGCCTCGCGGGTGCGGGTTTGTAAACCCTCTACTGCGGGTAATGTGCCCGTTGCCATCCATACTTAAGCAGGCTCTCAAGTGCCTCGGCGGCCTAGTGCTTGTTTGGTGTGCGGCCCTGCTCTGTCTGGCTTTTACTCTGTAAAAAAACTGCAATTATAGGACCGGGCAGACGTACCAATGTGGATACTAGAATTACCAAAATACCCCTATATACAATTATAGACCTACTAGATGCTCTATGTGTGAATGCTCTAAACGAAGAAACAAGCGATGGAAAAAGCTCTGTTTTGCGTCTCATATTTACGCCACATCAGATCTATTCTTCAAAGGAAGGGGTATAGACCTCCGGTGAACCACTTAAAGAGTTTAAAAACTTAAAAATGCAGTTTGAGAGTTGATAGATCTATATGGCACACCATCAAAAATTGATGGAACTACAGTGCATTTATTTCTATCTAAAATGAGTTGAGAAATACTTGGCCTCTATTTATGGCTTTACCGGTTTTGGCTCCGCCTGCCACATCAGTAGAACCGGAGCAAGATCCGCAAGAGCCACATCAAACAAGTCCTTAATTCACGGGTTGCTTCAGAACTTCTTGCAACGCTGTTTAGTACTCAATCCATCCCAAATTGTAAGACGTTTGACTTTTTTGACATCAAGTTTGACCACTCATCTTATTTAAAAATTTATGTAAAATATCACTTCTTTCGTTGTGGTTTGGTTTATTAATAAAAATTCTTCAAAAATAACTTAAATTTGACTATATTTGCACAAATTTTTTGAATAAGACGAGTGGTCAAACTTGGGTCAAAAAAAATTAAACGTCTTATAATTTGGGATGGAGGGAGTAGAAGAGAAAGTTTGGTTAAAATGCGATACGGAAAGATAACCACACTCCATAGACGTCGGTCCTTTTACCATAAAAAGAATCCTGAATTGGTTCGTTAAAGTCTTTCAAACTAGGCACAAGTGCAGTCTCTTCTCTTCTGCCGCTAGTACTTTCCTCAGCTCTGTAATGTAAAATAGTCCACGTCATGAGCTCCTAGCACTGTTCCTGCACTGCGAGCTTGCCGGCGTCACCTTGAGGAACCAAAGTTTAGCTCGCCGTCGTCGTTGTCGCCACCGGCGGAGGGCTGAACTGATGAACCAAAGTTTTGCTCGGCCTCGGCGGCGGCTCTGAAATCGACTCTTGGAGGCGGGAGCTTGTCAAAGAGGCACTCCTTGATGTTTCCAACAACTCCCTTGTCGTAGGGATCGGGCGAGCTACGATACGGCCCTTTGTACCTCTCATGGCTAGTCTGCAGAAAACTCAGAGAAAGGGGACTTCTTTTGTTAGCTACTACAGAGACTTCCTTTGGTTAGCTACCGCAATTTTCTACTCTGATTGCTAATTTGGATGGGGACTGCCTGGCCTACTTGATTAGAAGTTCTTTTCTATTGATTTTTATTACTCAAACACAATTCATGGTGGAAAGGTGGAACTACCTGGCCTATTTGAGAAACGTGTAAACATGATGGAGAATCACATTATTGACCGGTCAAAGGTTTGTACATGCACGTACCTTGTTCTTGGCTACAAGGAAGGCATGGGAGGCTAGAAGGCACGCCAGGACACACATAGCCATGAAGCTGAGTGCTGCAAGAGCAAACGTTTCAGGCAAAGCTGTGACCAAATAACTGAAGACTTCAGCATTGGCAGCGTCCAACTTGAGTATGAAAGCGTAGAACGCTAGCGCCGAGCACATCAGCAGCAAGTAGAACCTGTAGTTTCTCTGCAAAAGCAAGGAATCAAATACCAAAGCATTACTCTCTGAAGGTGTGAAACCAAGGCGATCGATATATGAGTAGTTCAGTAGTTGGTGTCAGAGGAGCATGATGATACCAGCCCTACGCACTGGCTTATCCAGGGACAGTGTTGATCGAACTTGCCGACGCAGTTGTCGCAGACGGCGCAGTGGTAGCTTCTGGGAGCGCGGTGGATTTTGCAGGTCCGGCAGAACTTGAGCCGCACCTCGACGCCATTGACGACGAGGAACCTAGACGGAGGAGGCCATGTGGCAGAATCTGTTGTTCCATCTTCTAGTGATGAAGGTGAAAGTGCAGCAGGATTGTTTCTTGGTATGATACCGGGGTCTCTTGTTGCGGCCATTGCGAAACTAGCAGCCACCTACGTGAACGAACAGGGCAGTGCTGGTATCAGTTTGTGACGAATGGGAGCTCGTGACAGAGCGTAAACTGTGACGATCGGGATCATGTATACAGACAGTTGCCAGTAGGACGAGGGAAGCCGCGGAGACGAGAGCCGGGTGCGCCGACGACGGATCGACGACGTAGCACAGGAAGATCCATTCTGAGAGCAGGATTGCCATGGCTGTCAGGATGAGGCCTCGCGGGTCAGGTCCGCAGATCACACGGCCGTCCAAGAAAAACACCTGCATTGCAATCTGGCTGTTACTGAAACTGAAACACGCACGCACCAGAGAGGTCAGAGGAGCACTGAAATAGACTGCTGCTCAATTTGAATGCCTACGTTCTTCCCGGGCCAGACTTGGTGCACCCTCGTCGGCGGCGGAGGCCCTGACGGGCTGCCGCGCAAGCACGATGGCATCAGGGATCCAAGCCTGCCGCAAGCTTCCCTTGGCCCTGGTCCAGTCATGTACTCGGCAGCGCGCCTGATCGGATTGCATGTTGCGGAGGAGGAAGAACCGTTACAGCCTTGGGCTTGGGCGTGGCGCTCTTGAATCTGGCGGTGTTCTTGATACGTGGAGTGCTCCATCTCCATGGAGAGTCCGTTCTTCGTCCTCTCGCTCCGTGGGAGAAGAGAAACCGAAAAAAGTGACGGTGGCGGCGTTGGAAGTTTTTTATTTTTTTGGACAACAACGGCGTTGGAAGTTGCGCGAGACAACCGCACCAGAGACGCAACGCAAGGGAGCAGTTACAAGTTTGACTTGGTCCTGGCGCGTTCACTCGTTCGGCCCATGGAATGGAATACATGGGCCGAAAATGGGTTTAGTTGGGCCGGTCGAAGAACAGACGATGGATCAAATGTACGGATGAAAACGGATCGGATACGAACGCATATCACTGATATTATATTTGTTTTCATATTTTTGTCCGAATTCGGATTCGAATATGGATATTTCAATCATGTCGCATAGGATACAATTGGATATCGACATCATAAATATGCGATTTGATTATTCGGATACGGATACGGTATCGAATGTTGAATATCCGGACTCGGATACGGACAGATCTGAATCCCTCTAAATGAATTTAGTCTCGAATACAGTAGAAAAATATCGATACCATTTTCACCCCTAATCAAATGAGATGGCGGTTTGCCGGTTGCCGCTGATTATGCGGAGTCCGAATGCTGAATGCGCCGGTCTGAATCCGATTCCGAGCTTCTGAAACAAACTGAAAGTCCGAGCTGACTCCGAGTCCGACTGTGGCTTGTAGAACCTCCTCCATTCTATGTCGCCTCTTCTCTCGTCACGTCCAATCTCAGAAGCCATTCTCGTCCGTGTGCTTAGACGCCAACGTTCTTGAGCTCTAATCGCTCTTCTCCCTCTTCCTCATCCGCGGACGGCCGCCATTCCCACTATGACGGTGCCGTCCGCCACCATGCGCAGGCTGCGCCGCGAGCTGGAGATCAGCCGGAACCGGAGCAAGGCATCCCTGGCGCCGACAGGAGGAGTCGTCGCCAAGAAGCCCTCACCACCGCCACCCTCCAAGTCCAAGCCCTCATCTCCGTCGCCGCGTTGCAACCCTGAACCAGAGCCTACAGCCCCGCCCGTGCCGTCACGCCTCGCCAACGGTGACGCAGGGCCGGAACGTGCGCGGACGACGCCGACGCCGACTACCAATTCCCGCTCGCGCCACGGCGCCGCGCTGCCGGCGGGACCGGCGGAGGTGACCAAGAGCAAGTGCATGTGCATCGGAAAGGGAGCGCAAGTTCGCGTGCGCACGCGGGTCGGGACGGTGTGCACGGGGCAGCACCTCGTGCTCTGGCTCCGCGCCGTCGTCGAGTGCGCCGCGGGCGAGGACGCCGACGGCTGCCTCCGCGTCTCCTACGACTACACCAACGGCAAGTTTCCACGCATCGCGCGCGTCTCCCCGAACGACGTCAAGCTGCACGTCGTCCCGCCCGCCGACGCCAGCGGCACTGCAGCGTCCACTACCGGATCCTCAACCGCCACCAGCGACCACTCTACGCGCACTTCGTCATCATCACAGTCACAGCAGTACAAGACTGCTCCACCTCCACGGCCGACCGTCGCCGGGAAGAAGCTGCCGCCGTTGCTGAAGAAGCTGCAGAAGGAGATGCTGATGAGCAGCTCCAAAGCTATCATGGGCTGCTTGTAGCCTTTTGTAGGGATCGGATACTATTAGACCCTGCGTTTTGTTTGTGATCATCATTGATATGTAGTTATGTACCGGTAGCCAGGACAAGTCTTTTGCAGATGTATATGTATTTTGATTGATTAATTTGTCCTACTCCACAAATATCGCTGTACAACCTTGCCGATCGATATCTACGTACCAAGATTTGTCTTAAAATGCGTAGTTAATGATAGAGAACATGTTGGGACAGTTGACTGTGTTGATGGGATTTGGTGATTTATAGATAAGATGTGTTTAAATCTCACAATAACAAGCATTGCGATCTCTCCCTCTTGCACATCAATGCAGTGAGAATTTTTATTGTGTGCTTCCAGACGCAAATAAAAGAGAACATGGTCACAAGGCATAATTAATCCTGCTGAAGTTGTGCAAAATAATTTCTCCAGCAACGTTTATGAACAAAGTCACACAAGTAAAAAGATGGTATGATTTCTTTGTCGAATTCAGATCTTGAGTACGTATTTTGAGGTAACAAAATAAATACAGTTTCCCATAAACAATTTCCTTTTGCAAAGTACAACATCCATGTAGACATATAAACACTCACCCCAGCCCCTATGAATGCCTCCGCGAGACTAGGCCGGCAAATCTTGAGATCGACTAAGGCACCGAAAAATGTGAGCAACAACCCCATCTTCAGGAAATCTTGAGATCAACAAAATCATTATCGTGGTCCGTGAGAAATGACTTCATCTTCAGCGATCAATTCCAGTGGACATCGATTCATGCAGAGTTTTGTTGATCTTCTTTGTAACCTTTTCTATTTCTTAACTGTTGTATTTAATTTTTCGTTTACCTGTTTATTTAATATAATAATATGCGATTTTTTTTTGAGAATATAATATGAGAAATTTACGGTCTTGAAAATAATGAGCCCTCTGTTTCACTGGAACTAATGTTTTAAAATATAGAAGGAACCAATTAGGAGGAATTATGAGAAACTTAGATGTGGACCGGAACCTATAATCTCACTTCTAGAAACTAAAAATTTCCTATCAGTGCAAAATCGACAGAAAAATACATAATACCGACAGAGAAATTAGAAAATTAATTTTAGCGACAGAGAAATAACATTTGCGTGTCGGTTGTCGAATTTTTCTGTCGGTACAACAATTTTCTTGTCGGTATGACGTCGATAGGAAAATTCAAGGACGTCGATAGGAAAATTTAGTCACATCAGGTTCAGAAGTAAAACCCTGTCGTAGTAGCCCGACAAGGAAATTTGTGGCCATCGTCAGAAAAATAGTATCTACAAAACAAATTCAGTTTTAATTTAAATTAATCATACAACAATTTCAGTTTTAATTTAAATTAATCATACAGTGGAGTTATTCATGTAACACATTATAGCTCACAAGTACACAAATGAGACTACAGTTAGAAATAATTGCCTTAAACATCAACATTACATACATAATCTGTACATATATTCTCTAAATATTTGACATCAATACAAGGGCCTCACAGTTATCTCCTACTAGCCTAGCAAACAATCTAGCCTATCTTCCGGTACCCATCTTTGAAGACTTGCATCCTTCATCCTCGTTGAGGAAAGCCTGCAGTGGACCATTACGCCAATAGAAATTTCTAGAACAAATGTGACTAGCTTGCCGTGGAACAAATGTCCCACTTCTCAAGTACAAGTAAATGCTCAAGTGAAAGTGATTTATGGAAAAACAACTAAGTAACACCTCAATTCTGCAGCTACTCTTATTCCAGTTTTCTCTATTCAAGGCAATGACTAATTAATGGAGCAAAACTAAATCTTGGGACACATACAAATTATCAACCAATTTAACAGAAATATTAACTTAGCCAGTGTTGGCTTGACCAGGAACATGGAGAGCACGCGAGGTAGCCGGATCCGCCGCCGTAGCCCCAAAACAAGGTGGAGACGAGGTGAGGGTGCCCGATCTGCCATCGTCGGAGTCAGATCCAGGGGCGGGGGCGCCGCTGCTGCTTGGGGCCGCGAGGTAGCAGGATCGTCGCCGCTCGTACCATGGACACCGCTGTTTAGGGCCGCGCGAGGGAGTCAGATCCGCCGTCGTCGTCGCCCTAGCCTTGGGCGCCACCACTTGGGGGCCAGCGAGGAGGGCGCCGCTGCTTGGTGAGAGGAGGAGGCACCGTAGCTTGGTGACAGGAGGAGGCGCCGCCGCTTGGGGATCGCGCCGTCGCGGGGCGAGCGAGCCGAGAACCGGATCTCCCGCCGTCGCGGTCTCACGAAGTGCAGGAGGCGGCGAACGGGTGGGAGAGGATGAGAGACAGAGTGTGGCGCTAGGGTTTGGGGCGCCGCTTTTATATGTCCGCGGCATAACCCGCCCGCTGTTGGGCCGGTTGAAAGGCCAACGCAGCCCAGGCCCACGTCGGCTGCGCGTTTCGTTCTCCAGCGCTCGTCAAAATTATTTTTTCTGTCAGTGTCACCAAAACACACAGAAAAACTGTATATTTTTCCGTCGGTAGATGGAAAACCGACAAGAAAAGTTCATTTATTCTGTTGGTTTCGTTATTTTTCTGTCGGTTCGTAGGTAACCGACGGAAATATACAATTTCTCTGTCGGTTTGTCTTTAACCGACTTGGAATTTTAAGTTTCCAGTAGTGTTTGCGGACCGGGAACTAATTCAAAGGATATAATAGTACTTCACATCTTTGGCAGTGAGCTCCAGCAGGCGCCCAGAGACAGAACTTCACAGAGCAGTAGATCACAGGTAACGGCAATGTGCCTCGGAGAGACCGCAGACGGGCGGGCGCGGTGCACCCCATGCAGACGGGCAGTGGCGTCGATCTCCTACAGCCAGCCAAGCCACAGGCCCTTGCGGACGGGCGAGGGTGAGCCCTGGACAGACTGGTGCAGGCCAGCGGCGGCGGCGAGCCGGCGAGCCGGCGAACCCGTCCTTGCTGATGCATGTGTGTGTTCCGTTTGTGTAGAAGGGGAAGATAAGATGTCGTCAAAGTTAATGTATGCACTAAACTGACTAAACTATCCATAATTATATTTAATTAATTTCTTTTACACTAGACGTCCCAGAAGATTTTTGTGGGTAAGGTTCCTCCCAAGCACCGTAATAATAATATATATAGCTATAGTAGCGGCTAGGGCTTGTCCCTCCCGTTGCTTCCGGGAAAAAAATGTGAGCACCCATTGGAGAACTTTGTTACTTTTAGAAGAACTGTTCATCTTCAAACTGTAAAAGGAAACAAGAGAAACTGAGAGGAGAAACAGGAGTCAATTAGACTTTATGATAATGAAAATACTATGGGTAGGGCATCCGTTTCGTCCGGATGCGCGTTGGTGAGCCTCGACACCTGCCTGAACGGCTCAACATTGTCATCCGCACAGACGCACTCATCTCGCCAGGGGCGGATCGAGCCTAGTAGAGGCGAAACTAGGCTCCGGCCCCTGCTTGCCCGCTGACACATTTTGAAGCACTAGTATATTCAGGAAGCGAGAACCACTGCAAGCTTACAAGTTATGAGAAGCAAGCTTACATGCATATATCAGCAGTAGTACGTGTATAAGCTTACATACAGCAGCAGCAATGTGTGTACTCCTACTCGTTAAGCCGTTAAGCAGCCGCAACCGATGGGACGAGTTTGTGTCGTCAGGCCTCTGCTTGGCTTTTTTTTTTGACAAACCTTACGGCCTTATGGGTCGCAGAACTGGTCAGATGTTGTTTCTTTTTCAGTCAACCGGCTCCTAATAGGCTTGCTAATTTAGCATGCAGTCTGTTGATATTCTGAACTTAGACTTAGTAGAGAAGTTGACAACATCAGATACTTGGACAGTTGTTAAGTCCTAATTTATAAGTGATGCTTTGGCAGCTGAGCGCCAAATTACTGTAGCACAACCGAATAATCCCCCTTCATTTTATACCACACTCCGCCACTGCATCTCGTGTTGTCCAAAATAAAAAAAATCTCTGTCACTTTCCTCTTGAATCGTCACTGCGCCCGCATCCATTCTCGAACCCACTCTCGAATCGCTGCAGTGCCCGCACCGCTGCGGCGTGCTCGACCGCGACCGCGTTGCCGGCGGCCAAAACGCGGCGGCGTGCTGCACTGTTCCCGAGCATCGTCGCTTGCCTTCCTATCTCCCCACCGTCCCTCACCACTCGCCGCTGATTTCTTCAACCCGACGCAGCGTGGTCCACGGTGGCTGCTCCGGCGCTGCGTTCTTCACCGCGCCCAACCGCTTGTTTGCCACCATCCTCCCTCTCTAGCCTTCATTGCACCCGAGCGCCCCTTGTTGGCTACAGCAGTTCCCCACCAGGTAGGCCGTGGCCGCCGCCGCCGTGTTTCAAGTGTTTTAAGATGTTTTAGAAGTATGTTTCAAGTATTTCATCTGGATATTGCCTATGTTGCAATGGCTATATACATGCAAGTATATGTTTCAAGTGTTTGATTGTTTTCACATTTATGCTTCAAGTGTTTCATCTGGATGTTGCGTGATATATCTCGGACGTTACATAACATGCATGTTTCAAGTGTATGTTTTAAGTGTTTGATTGTTTCATACGTATTTGCAAGTGTTTTATTTGTATGTTGCAAAAGTAGATTTGGATGTTGCATGCGTTTGCAATGGCTTTCAAGTATTTTCGTGTGTTTTGCATAGAATCGTTTCAGACGTATGTTGAAACTATTTCAAGCTATTTCGGATGTATGTTGCAAGTGTTTCATCTGGATGTTGCACATATTGCAATGGACCACCTGTCATGAACCGCTTTTCTTTGTAGTTCTTTGGGGCACCACCGAAAGCGGCGCAGAATGTCCCCTTTTGCATGCGTGTGGAAAAGCGTGACGAGACAGAGCGGTCTCCGCGTGTTGTAGGTTGCTGGGTGGGTGGCGCGGGCCCGCATGGGCGCACCGGAGTGCAGGCGTGAAAACGGGGTGCTAGCACGGCGCCCTGGACGCTGGCGCCTGTCCGGACGCTTGGGCGCTAGCAATCCCCTTATGATAATTTTGGACTTTCAAAGCTAAGAGGTTTGGAGCCGAATTATAACCATTATCTTAAAAAAAATTGCGACTTGCATCCCTTCTCTTCTCTCTAGCTCATGCTTTCATCTGGAATACGCTTGGCCCTAGCTCGAAGCGAATAGGCGGCACTGAGACCATGTCAAACAAATATAATGAGATGCTTCCATTCTTTCCCTTTTTGTCATCGGTTACTCCAATGCAAAGTTTTCACTTCACTACAGTTTGCGTAGGCCAAGGACAAGGGCATGGAAATGCAGAGAGTTATAGAATGTAGTAGACGACATGCATGGACATGCCCAACAAACTACAAATGCTTGATTTGGCCCGTGTGACTCCTGCCGCCCTGAGCCTGCATCTTGGAGCCCGTCGCAGCAGTGCAGCACTGACCGATTCTCCAACATCCTGGGAACCAAACAAACAAGCTCTCTCGATGGTCACCTATATATGCAGCTGAATATGTGCTTCTGAACTCAGGGCATCGCATACGCACAGCCAAGAAAATAAAAAGAGTCCGGCAGGCCAAGGCATCCGTCTCCATGGCTTCCAAGCAAATGCTGGCTGCAGTGGCCGCCTCGATGGCCCTCGTCTTCCTGCCCACGCTCGCCTCCGCCACGGATCACGTCGTGGGCGACAGCCAAGGCTGGACGCTCGGGTTCGACTACGCCGCCTGGGCCGAGAGCAAGCAGTTCACAGTCGGCGACACACTAGGTACGTACTCGCAGCTGGATCGATCAAAAGCCTTATACTATATGCGACGTACATATGCACATAGGCCTCGCTCTCTGATCTGGCGACACTTCTAATATGCAGCGTTCAAGTACGCCTCCAGCTCCCACAACGTGGCGGAGGTGAGCGGGCCGGACTTCAAGGCGTGCAACAAGGCGGGGGCCACCTCTGTCTGGAACTCCGGCGACGACCGGCTCAGACTCGACAAGCCGGGCCGGAGGTGGTTCATCTGCACGGTGGGCAGACACTGCCAGCTTGGCATGAAGCTCAACGTCACCATTCTTCCTGCCACCACGCCGACCCCGCTGCCGTCACCGGCGCCGGCGCCGGAGCCGTCTCAGCCTCAGTCGTCTCGGCGCTTCCTCTCCAACTCCAACTGGTGATGGATCATGGATGCAATTGCGCAACGCTTGCCTTCCATGCCAGAGTAGCTGGTCCTCGTATTTTCAATTCTGCCCCGATCGAGCCTTTTGTACCGGACGATCTGCCATCCTGATCGAGTGGCATGTTGTAATAATAATAATTCTTGGACCCGTACGTGTGTGTTCAACGCATGAATTTCTAGGCTGGTGATGTTTTCCGTTTCCGCTGAAACACACCTTAGGCCGAGAATTTGGATATTTAGGACTCTAAAAACGTTGCTTTTCGCAGTTTTGTCATTTGTAACGTGGACTTCACAAAAATAGATCTTAAAACATGTGATACTTGATTTCCATGCTATTTTGTGTATTTTCTCCTTTTTTTTTCTAATCTCTATACTTGCATTTGGCACTTTTTTTCTCAAATACGTAAGAGCATTGCGTATCATTATATTAAGAAGATAAAAGTTCTAAAAATACAAGAGAGGTCGTTCCCGGCCCGGCTAATACCTCAAGGGGCTACATTTTAGCTATGACATCATTGGATCAACCTAAACTACGCGCGGGCCTATGGCGCCATGGCCGAAGGCCGGCGAGCTGCTCCACCAGTCATCACCCTGGATGCTGAAAACAACTCATCGAGAGCCTCGATGTTTGCTGACGATAGGGTGCCCTTGAAGTAGGAGTCGTATGAACGCTTAGCTGCAGAGGAACTCGGTGCTGATGGTGCCAGAAACCCCATCTTCTTCATGTGCAGTACATCGCCGCGTTTGGACGCCGGGATGTGGTCCATCCGCTGAGCAGCAATCCGCCTGCTCCTAAGGGGCAAGGTCCGCTTTGGCGCCTGCTTCTGCTTGGGCGGGGTGTTGATGAGAGGTGGCTATCTCGTTATCTGGACCTCCTCAGTGAACCAAGCCAATCGCTTGCAGCCTCCCTCGGTGTGGGCGTGTCCTCAGTGCTCAGCTTTGTTGCCTGAACACTGCCCGTTGCCATGCCATCAGCCGCTCAGCTTGCGGCCTGGCAACCATGCACTGGGCCGAAAGCAGAGTGTGCCTTCGTTGGGGCGGATGGTGGGACCTCCATCCCACCCCGGTCGACAGTTGCGCCTGTATGATCGACCTATCCTATAGTGGTTGTCGCTGCATCAGTGGCCGGGAGCAGTTGGCTTCCACTGGCCACCTCATGCCCCGGGGACGTCGCCGGCTTGGCTTCAGTGGCCGGCGTCGGGTATGATGCCAGACAGGGGCACATGAAAGGATAGTATTGTCTTTCTGTCAATTTGCATCTGCATGCATGGATACGAAAAGAGACTCGTCTTGTTTCTCCGCCGTAAACCCCCGACGGTTCTTGTGCCGCGCCGTCGCCCGGCCCTCGGCCCAATCCCGCCCGTGACAGTAGATATCTTACAGCTACTACTAATTAAGAGCAGCTAACTAACAGTAGCTATCTGCATGGATACGCCATTTCGGTGCATAATCAAGAAATGCAACTTTGTATCAAAAGCAGCTATTATGAACTTTGTCTTTCATTTCCTATAGTGTCATTCTCAATTACATCAGTTATATATAAAGAGCAATAGAGCATACTTGTCTATACTGGATACTGTCATGTATGGTCCAAATTTAGCACAGTAGCTATCTTACAAAATGTACTTGAAAACAGAGTAATAACCATATGTTTTACTGCCCAAGAAGTGAAACAGATATCCTTTTGCTACAAGAGAAATCGGCAGACACATAATACACTAATAAACCCAAATTATGGTTAATGAAGGTCTATTCACTATTCATAATCTGCCTAACTGAATACTTGTACACCACTACTTTTGTTGCTAATGCATCTAAAAAGCTATAGTACATAAACAATGGATGGATGCGAATGAGTTAACAACAAAAATACTGTATCTGCATGAAACCTTCGTTCAGAACCAACACAACTATAGACTTATTTTATGGTTCACCAAGCAGGTCCCAGAAATCAGCTCATCACAAGTCTGAATGCAAGAATGAATGAAAATGTTCGGCACAAACCACCCAAGAAATTTGAAACTGGAGGACAGTAATAATATCCTTAATTTTGTATTTTAAACAGTTAGTAGAAAATTAGAAAAAATGTATAAATAACTACTCTGAATAACCAATGCGACATTAACAGTTAATCAAGCACCTCTTTACTCTTTCCAGACACAAGGTAAATGCCAAAAATCTGATGGTACAACAGATAGTGAACTTAAAAGAAACTGATTGTTAGCTACAGAATAACAAACACTCATACAGCTATGTACTAGAAAACAAACCACCAGGATTCTTCTGCTTGTTGTACATCAACACGATTTATGCAATAACCCATGCAGAAATATGGTGAGATCTTACATTTCTTTAAGCTGCAACTATGTCACCTAATTGAACATAACAATTATAAATTACAGGACAGTATCTACATTTAAACTTAGGTTAATTTCGTTTCTAGAGTCCAAGGATGCTCACTCCCAGAATGAATGAAGAAAAGCAGCTAATGTTCCGAGAAAGCATCATCTGTAACCCACGTCGACATGGCACATATTATGCGCCCCTTCCACCCTTCCAGGAGCCACTGGTGATCCACATCAATGACAAAGTCCTTGTGGTAGCTTTCCTTGACCTTATTCCTCACAACCTTAACAATATCTGGATCCAAAGGCAGCTGTCTCAGCCCTGCCCGGTGGTTCCGCACTTGCCATTGCTTGTATGTCTCGTGGCGCTCAACCCTATCGGAACCCTCACAGGCAATGACATTCAAGGCAAACCTTCCAAAGAGGCCCCATTCAATCAGCAAGCGTCGGTCGTTGTCCTGTGAGACTGTAACATCAAGCATGTCAAACAGTGCCGAGAAAAAGAACAGTACCTCTCGGAACCGTGCTACAAAGAATGGTGTGCCATGGGAGCCATTGACATTACAAAAGATAAACACATCTGGCCGCATCTCTCGGATGTTATTTTTTTTAGAGCACGCCAAAGCGCGTATTTCATTAAGCAGAACAGAAGTTTTTCGAACAAACAACAAGCATGGTTACACTCTGGTTACAAAAAACACACACCCCACCCCACACCAGAGCACATGGGGGATTACACCAAGTTACATGTTGCGACTAGCGCGGGCAGCAGGCTGGATCAAGCCCCCAAAACAGACAGCAGCAGCCGCAAATGTGTGAAGCCCGCCTGGCACCACGACGAAGTCTCATCCTGAATAAGCGCAGCCAATTCCGCCGCCGGGCGCCCCACGCCGTTGAAAGTTCTGGCGTTCCTCTCCTTCCATATAAGCCATCCCACCAGGAAGAATAGAGAGTCAAAACCTCTTCGCAACAATTTTGGAAGCTGCTTCCTAGCCGTAAGCCACCACTGAAACACATTTTCATCTCTAACAACAATGGTAGAGTGAAGATTTAGCCTGGACAGCACCAAAACCCACACCTCCTTAGTTAGTGAACATCCCAGTAAGATCTGATCAATTGTCTCCGCCGTCTGGTCACACATGATGCAGGTACTGGACGGCTGCAAACCGTGTCTGAATCTTCGTTCCGAGGACCATATCCCTAGGGCTTGGGCTATATATGTCAACACCCTCATCCATCAAGTTCCCAAAATCAAATAGACCATTGATGATGAGTGCCTCGTCAGGGTCAATGTGCAGGTCATCAACAGAAACCATCTCCCACTTTGCCGCAATGCTTTGGAACTTGAATGGTATGCCAAACTGTCGGGCACATTTGCTGAGCCGGCGTCCGATCTCTTCAATATGAGCAGCCGGGCGGAAACCAGGCAGGGGAAGGTCAATGCCGGTGATCCTCACCTCTGGTGGTCCCCTTCCCAAGTAGACAAAATGCCAAGGAAGCTTGGCCACTGGATCCCGTCATGCATGCCATAGTCTACAATGTGCAGTTTTGTCCTCGCTGCAATAACATTGGCAATGGTCATGTTGGAGAACTTGTACGCCATCATCTTGAAGCAGCAAACTGTTAGGTACAGCTGATAGGCTTTAAGGATATCCACTTGCGAGGTTCGCTTTGACATGAGCGACTTGTAAACCTGGCTTCCTGTGCCTGCCAGTCGTGCCTCTAATCCATCTGCAAAACAATGTGCCAACCTTTGACTGGCATCTCCCCTCGGTGAGGAATGCTGCTTGATCTGCTTAAGTAGCATGGCCGCACTCCAACGATCGTCCATCGAAATGGCCTGTGCACAGTGAATAAGCAATGTGTGGAAGTCCACTCCTCATTCAAGCTCTGCCTTCGCAGTGCAGACTTCCAATTGCCCTTCCTCACGAATTTCCCATCCACGCTATCCATAGTGATGTCCAGACCCAGCATTCCATTGAGGCACAAGCGATACTCATTGAGAATTATTTCATCAATTATCTCATCTGTTTCCTCCAGCTCCAGCACCATCAACTTGCTGTTCCTGCTCATCTCTGCATTCTCCAAATCCTGCCAGTTACACCGGTTCTTGCGGCCCCGGCCATTACTGATTCCTTGGAATGTTAACATTCTGTCCACCCTGTCTTCATTCATCGCATGGCCTGGGACAAAGACTTGTGGTAGCTTGCAGCCTCGAGCCTCGACGAGAAGGCTGCTGTCAATGGGCAAGAATTTTTTGGCCTCCTCCATGCCCCTGAGGAACGCCTGGTTGAGCATGTCCATGTTTACCCTGTTCTGGCCACTGAAGAAGGTCGAAGCCAGCGCGCCGTGTTCCCTGTCTCCGGTAGGAGAGGAGGTGGTCGATGTAGTCGTCTCCTCGGGGCCAGCCAACAACTCCGAACACTGGATGCCGGCGCCGCCGCAATTCCGGAACGCGTTGGCCTCGTCCACACTCTGATGGAATCTCGCGCTGGCGGTGTCTTGTTGGGGCAACAAGAATTGGTTGGGATCATCAGCGGTGAAGCCGTCGATTCCCGCTCCCATGTCTGGGCATGGCGTGGACAGGAGCAGCTGGGAGAACTCGGCCGGATCGTAGGGCCAGGTGGCGTTGTTGGCGAACGCAGGGACGTCGGAGGATGGCGGAAGGGTGCAGGCGGCGCTTCCATCGTTGTTGGTGGCGAAAGAATCGGAGGCGGCGCTTGGGCCGGAGAGGATCTGAGCAAATGGCTGCTGGGTTTGGAGGAGCGCTGGGTGGTCGGGGTAGTGGTACAAGAACTTTTCGTCGATGTCTTCCTCCATGAGGATGCGCGAGATGAAGGATAGCGCGAGGTCGTCCGTGGAGGCCGCCGGGTCCTCTTCGCTTGGCGTCGGGGGAAGGTCGAAGAAGACGGAGGGGGAGAACGGTTCAGGCTCGGGGTCCCCCTGCCCCGGGAACTCCTCCGGCGTGGCGGCCATGCCTGACCGGCGGTAAAAATCGAAGCTTTTTTTATCCGGTTGATGACGATTATGGTAGGTTTGCAGTGGAGAAAACATGGAGACGATGGAAAGGGATCGAAGCTTGTTTCAGCTTGCTCTCAATCATCCAAAACCATCCGAATTCTACTGTTCACCGGACCATCCGAACACAGTGCGAATTGGGGTAGCAGTGGTGGAGGGTAGAAGATGGTGTCGGAGGGGACTGGGTAAGTCAAGCAGGAACCTTCGTGGAAGGCGTCGGGTACGACTGCGGCGGCGGCAGCCACAGTGGAGGTGGAGTCATTGGAGTGTCAGTTTCTTACTTGCTCTACAGTAGTACAGTGATTGAGGCGAGGCAACCGATTAGCGACTAGCGAGTGGGGTCACGAGTGTCTTTGCAAGTGACCACTGACCATGGACATAAATACCATTGTTGAGGTCATTTGGATTCTTTGAACGGAGAATTTTGGTACCGATACATTTTAAGGTAGCGATTTTTGACTAGATGCGTGAAGTGTACTTGCAGACGATAACTGGCTAAAAAAATCCGGTCTTTTGAACACTGTCGACACAGAATTTTCGTCCCGTGCCGAGGACATATGTAGTAAGTCGGAAGAGTCTACTCGATAGAGCTGTAGATCTGCCTAGCTTTAACGCAGGGGTGGTCGATCCTGCGCACTCCTCCTGAGACGTGCCAGTCAATTTGACCCTGCAATTGATCAGAAGAGAAAGTTTATCAATAATTAAGGGCGGAACTTGCCGGTGTTGGCAGACAGTACCGAATATGCGGCTATAAGAGCCGTTATTAAAGGAGATCGACTAAACAGTCGATTCCTGCATATTTATGAGATTAAATCGGTTAAAGCTCATTGGGTTGTATAAGAAGAATCAATTATCATTCATGATAAATGTCATTATTTAAATAAATAGTAATCAATGGCAATAAGATGTCAACAATGATTGGTTTATGCTAAGCCAATGATTACAAGTAACCGAACCCCTTTTTATATAAAGAAATAATTCAGCATCACTTAACCGTTTGATAAAGATAAATCTAGTGAACATGTTAGATCTCATCTATCGCTATGACCAGTAGGGCATGAGGCAGAATCATGTAGGCCATAGAAATAACAATAGACTCGACGACCCTAACTCATTACTAATATTAGTAGGGCATGAGGCAGAATCATGCAGGCCGTAATACAATAATAAGATCATGGGGCTAACATATCTTTCAACCTATCTTTACTTCAACGGTCTCGTGATGCGAACTATTCATGAAAGCACTCAATATCGGCTAAAACAGCCGATTCAGGCTTAGCGCACAGCTAAAGTCATGCCTTATCAGGAATAGATCTACCAGATAACGGTCTCCACTCCACGGTGCTAACTGTGGGGTGTGAGGTAGAATCACACAGGTCGTGGAACGGTTTTCGCTAGCCAATAAATCTACTCAAGACGCAACACGCCTTAACCGCACGCTATGCACGATCAGGATTGACATAAAACAGCCGATAAAACATAATTCATCGTTTAAGGTGTAGATTAGATCAATTTAGATTAGCAAACGATGGACTAAATAAGATATGAGGCCGATCTAGATCAATCCCAATCAGGCAGAGTGATATTACTGTAATTAGATAAATAATGGAAGTAATAATCAATATCGATAACTTAATGAATCTACCAAAGACTGTTATTTTAAGGTAGAGCTGATAACTTGACCTTGATCTAGTCATGCAGTGGGGGTCGACCGGATCAATACAGCCATACTTGAACTAGACAAGAATCGATAACTAACTTATACTAGAGTCGCAGTGGAGGTCGACCAGATCGATGCAGTCGTACGAACAGAGGTATAAGCCATGACGGTACTTACAACAAGCAGTTGAGGTCAACCGGATCGATGTAGCCGTACTTGCTGAAGGACTTGTCGAAATCTACTCTACTCCTACTCTAAAGGGGTGGCCGGAGCCGAAAAAGTAAATAACTTGTATATTGGATTGATTGTTTTTTTACAATAGCCGGGGCTTGATATTTATACCCAGGATCTGCGCATGACTCCTGTCTAAGCACGACTCATCACAAATTTTGACCCTAAAGAAAACATTTCTAATTTAAGATAACTTGGACTCTAATCTTTTCCTTTTTGTAGAGTCCAACATGTTTCGTCCTGGCGCCGAACGTAGCATTTGTCGTTATCCGTTGGCGCTATCTAAAGAAAGTTGATTCCAGTTTTTGCATCCGAATCAGCTAGTTCCGATCTGCACGCAATTGATTTCTTGATGACATGATCTTGGAAGCTTTCGAGTCTCTGCGACTCTTTTTCTAAATTTTGGTGTAAACAGAACATTATTAGGACCGAAATGTTTTTTAAAAAGGACGGTAAAAGTTTTGCCGTAATTTTATTAGACGATACAAAAGAAAAAAACTGCACAAGAAATTTAAAAAAACACGGCAAAACTAGGATTTACCGCTGCAGGGCCTCCCCATCTAAAACTGAAAAAAAACAAGAGTTACAACAAGGGAACAACTACTGAAAACCGAGAAACAGGCTAGCACTGATCCACTGGAGAGGCCATGAACTTCTACCAGCAAGACATAGGGACCAAAACTACTACCCCACTACTGAACATGCTGTTCTTCGTTCCTTGGAGTCCAAGCCAATCGATATTGCATAATGTCATCCTTGCAAAGAGCAGCGACCTGTATTGGATTAAGGTGCTTGTTTTGGAAAATCCTTCTATTTCTTTCTTTCTATATGTTCCACCAGAAATATACGAAGATTCCATCCACTTCTCTCCTTTGGTTCCTCTCAATCTTGCGTCGGCATCTCCACCAGTATGCATGAAGAGAGCCTGTGACGTTTACTGAGTCCAGTAATGGTTGGTTAAACCATTGCTTTATGTAGCCCCAAACTTCCTTGGTGAATGCGCAGTCCTTGCATAGGTGCACTGGACTTTCCAAATTGTTTATGCAAAGCCTACGATCTGTGTCATCGGTCCAACCCCTTTTGAAAAGATTGTTTGCTGTGAGAATTTTTTTATGCATCAAGGTCCACGCAAAAAAAAACCCCAACATTTCTGCTCCGCTTTGGCCTTCCATATCGGGGTCAATTTGATCTTGCTAAAAACTCCATTAAACTGAATCTGGTAAGCACTGGTTGTGGTGTATTCTCCTTTCGCCGTCCATCTCCAAGTCATACTATCTTCCTCCGTGTCCCTCAGCGCAACTCCCTGTGTTGCCTCCCAAAGTCTCACAAATTGTGTTACCTCTTCTTGAGTTGTCGGAGGGTGTGATCAATCCATTTTTCATTTGTTAGACCCTGACGGACAGTGATTTTTTCCTTCTTGACTTCACATACAGCAATGGTGCAATTGCTCTCGCAGAGGTCCCCTGTATCCAATTCGACAACCAGAATGGGGCCATTTTTCCGTCCCCAATGGTGACTATCGTTGACGCATAGAAGAGGTTCCGATCCGCTTTGTCACATGGAATTTCCAAGCTTGTCCAAGCTCTGTTTTTTCTGTTTCCATTGGAACCATAACCATCTAAGCCTAAGAGCTCTAGTAAACCTGTCCAAGTCCAGGATTCCCAAGCCTCCCTTTTCTTTTGGTAAGCAAGTCGTTGGCCAATTGATTGGCGAGTGACCTCCACTGACCCTATCTGGGTTTTCTCCCCTCCAGAGGAAATTTCTCCTAATTCTATCGATTTTCTTTAGTAGCCATTTTTGTGCCTGAAAGACAGTAAGGTGGTAAATTGGTAAACTCGACAAAACTGTCTTAACCAAGGTTTCCCTCCCTGCTGAGGAAAGGAATTTCCCCTTCCACCCGGGAAGTCTTGCACCGATTTTATCTACAAGCGGTTGGACCTCTATTTTCCTCAGCTTTCTAATGTGAAGTGGCAGCCCCAAGTATTTCCCAGGAAAGTTGCTTATCTTGCCCGGGAAGTTGTGCACAATATTATTCACTGAGCTGGCGTGCATCCGGATCGGAAAAAAATCTCAGTCTTGCTCATGTTCACTTTGAGTCCAGAGCATTCACCGAACAGCAGTAAGATCTTTTGAAGTCTTGCCATTTCAAGCGATGTTTGATGAGCAAATAATGCCGCATCATCTGCATAAATGGAGCAGCAAAGCTTTGCCTTATTCGGTAGTACAGGTTGTAATAATCCTAGTTGAGATGCTTGTTCAATTATCCTTTGCAGTGGATCAATTGCAAAGATAAACAACATCGGTGATAATGGATCCCCTTGTCTAAGTCCCTTGGCATGCTTGATGTTTTGGGACGGTCTTCCATTTACAAGGATTTTCGAGGACGATGTTCCACGAATAGAAGATATCCAATTGCGCCATTTGGTACTGAAACCTAAAGCGGTTAATACCTCTAACAAGTATTGCCACCCAACAGAATCAAAAGCCTTTGAAATGTCGAGCTTGATGAACAAAGCCGGTTCTTTTTTCTTATGTAATAGCTGGATCACTCTCTGAACATATAGGAAGTTATCATGTATACATTGATAAAAGCATTTTGTGCGTGGGAAACCAACTCGTTCATATGTGGTGCCAGTCTTATTGCCAGGAGTTTTGTGATGATTTTGGAGACGCTGTTAATTAGGCTAATGGGACTATAGTCTGACATGTTTACTGGGTCTTGTTTCTTTGGCAGTAGCACTATGTTTGCCTCATTGAAAAGGTGCATTTTAGATGTCTTGTGATTGTAGAATCCCAACACCGCCTCAAAGAGATCATTCTTGACTATGCCCCAGCATTTTTTTGTAGAATAACCCGATGAAGCCATCTGGCCCCGGGGCTTTCTCTGACGGTAGTGATTTGATTATGGAAAACAGCTCTTGTATCGTGAACGGCATATCCAAGTCTTCTAGATTGAATGGAGTATATCCCAAGGCTTCCCAGTTAAGGCGGCGTGATCTGCTCGTGTTCGTTCCACTGCCTTCCTAAAATAATCAACAGCCACTCTCATCTTGTCTTGCCGTGTTGT